GAAGGACTTCAAGTACCGGTCTTCCACCCGCTTTCAGAAGCTCCGCTGTAATTCCATCCTCGCCTGGGGCCTTACCGTTTTTAAGGTGCTGGAGAGCCATCCTAATCTCGCTCAGACTGACATCCGGGATATCTTCGGAATAGTGTCGGATGAGACTCGCTCTTGGATCGTTACTCACACTTGCGTGTGGCTCCAACGATGATGTGTACAGCTGCCCATAGAACCTCTCAATCTCACTCAAAATCTCAGGTGTCCCGGAAACGATGCTGCCACATTCCGTCTTCAGCTTTGACAGTTGGCTCTTTCTGGCAGACAGATCTCTGGCAAAGACTTTGGAGCCTTGGTTCCGCTCGATCGCTTCTTCAATACGAGCTGTATTGAAGTTGCGTAAGTCCCGCCGCATGCATTTGGAGATCTGTCTGTTCAGATGCCTGTATGCTGTCAAGTCTGTTGAAGAATGTAGCTTCATCTCCCGTCTAACAGCCATGAGATTAAGAGTGTGATCGGAGAGTTTTTGTGTTCTTCTGCGGCGGGTCTTGCAGAACTTAGCTCCAACCGCATGGACAGTTTCCACGAGCTTGTCATTCATATCGTCCACTTCATTGCAGTCTTCTAGGCACTGAAAACGGTTTTGTAACTCGAGCTGAAAGGTTTCGGGACTTTGAAACAGAGCACGAGGGGGACGGAGCGTTGACTTCATTAGACGAGACCTCTCCAACTTAACGTTTAGGTTCAGTGTGCCTCTAACCATTCGGTGATCGCTACCAGTTTTCACCCTCGCGATCACGGAGACATCACTGAACAGTTGTCGTCTGGTCGTCATAATGAAGTCAATCTCATTTTTTGTGGAACCGTCGGGGCTCGACCAGGTCCACTTCCTGTGGGACCGCTTCTGGAAGAAAGAGTTCATCATAAAGAGTCCCTCTTTCTCCATGAAGTCGGCCAGCTGCTGGCCCCTTGGGTTCCGTTGCCCTATTCCAAATTTCCCTACTTTCAGCTCACCGTTCTCTCTTGTGCCTAGTTTTGCATTGAAGTCTCCCATTAACACCGTATATTGGGTTTTGGAGGAATGCATGGCTCTAGAGATATCCTCATACATTTCCTCCACCTCCTCATCGGGGTGTGCCGAGGTTGGTGCGTAAACCTGTATGACCTTCAGCGAATACCGTTTGGAGATTCTGAGTATAAGGTACGCAACCCTCGTCGACACACTCCCGATTTTTACAACGTTGTTACCGAGAGACTTGTGGACGATAAATCCGACACCTCCTTGGGACAGATGGTCGCCCTCCCGGTGATAGAGCAAGTTGCCGGATTCGAGGATTACCGTGTCCTCCCCCTCTCTTCGGACTTCAGATAATCCTATAATATGCCAGCGCAACTTGTCTATCTCTTCTTCCAGCTCCACGATCTTCTCGTCAGTCCTCAGGGTGCGTGCGTTGTACGTTGCCAGGTCGAGTCGTCTAAGGTGGCAACCGAACCTCCACCGGAGATTCTTAGCACCCCCTGCCCCGCCGTTACCATGGTCGCCACCGTAGCCAGGAATAGCGGGGCCGCCGGGGACTGGGGGCCGTTTTTTTGTTGCTCTCATCATTGGGGGGTATTTGCCATAGTTGCCACGCTTGGCGAGCGGGTTGGCAACCGCAGTTTTTTTATTGTCATTTGGCTATTATCAGGAAGATGCTGCTGCCCATCTCCTGGCTGTTTCCCTTTGTCGCCTTTTACGACACCCACGGGAGGATATGGGGTAGTGGATATTCTTGACCGCCACTACACGGCACTAGCACTATTATAACCTATGAATTAGTTCTGCTGCAATTGAAATGAGATTTAATTAAGTACTTTAAAAATAAACGTATAATTTATTTCCTTTTTTTTATATTTTCCCATTTCTGTATTTCCCTTTACTTAACGGAACAACATAAATATACAGGCTATCAGAGTGTGTGTGCAGGTAAAATTAAATTAAATTATAGGAAAACTCAGTATTCCTCAAGGAGGCCTATAAGCACGATACCTTATGTTTTAAATGTCTAATGTACAGAAAGTGTTAAATGGCTTAACATCCTATATGGAAAATTTATGAGTATAACAATTAGTATTATTGATTATTTAAATACCGCCCTAACATCACAGTTTGTACTTAAGAAAAGAGGAGAGTAAATAAGGCAAGAACCGTTGTAAATGGAGACATATCAGCAGTAGCGAACTCAACACTACAAGCGCGGAATAACTGCTAGAAGAAAGACATATCATAATATTAACTACTGACCCACGTTCCGTCTTTAAACCCAAAAGATTTATGAAGAAATTTTACGGAAACTAATAAAGTTCATAACAGTTTATAATATTAAATATATAATTTATTTTAGAGTTTGGGGGGAGAAAATGCAGATTACCCAGAAAAGTTTTTTATTGTCAGCAAAAACACAGAGAGCACTCAGTTCTAGTTTTACGGTTATCGCCATATTGCTTATCTATTCCTCATCTCTTTCACACGCATCTTTTCTCGCTCACACTCACTCTTGCCTGTATAGCTATACTATTTCACAATCCTACACTCGGCTATCCTGATATTTGTCGGCCCTCAGACAACCTTACAACCAATTAAAAATCTCACGTTAAATATAGAATCCCACCAAAAACATTCTGTAAAAAACTAGCCAAGTCTCGATGGAGCTGCTTGTTTATCTCTAAAAAGTAATGAAATCTAGACAAGGTCGTGCCAAGTCTAAGGTTCCTTACTTCGATTTCTTTATTATTATAGTTAATGTTGTGTGACTTGGCCGTTAAAGGGTACACAAGGGTACAAAACCAGGTGCTACATGACACCATTGCACCAATCTGTCGCCAGAACCGCTACCCATTGACGATGGAAAATTGCCACTTGGAAAACATTGATTGAATAAGCAGTCAATTATAAGCTTCATAAAGTTGCGTTTACACGTAATGTTGCACGTAATTGTGTTTACACGTAATGTTATATCTGTTGTAACTATCTATGTTTATTAAGCGAGATAACTGGACGCTAATGTCTCATTTTAGGCGGTTATTGATTGTGCAACACAAGTATGCAGCACTGACAATGCTGACTTCTACTCTCTTCTTTTTAGAGCGTCAAATCGACCACTGATCTAACATAAAATAGACGAACAGACGGACTTCTATCAATGATTAAAAGTCCGCCTGTACTGGTAATAATTTTTTATACTGTTTGTTTCAGGCTCGCCTATACAAAAGTATTATTGAAATACGCAGCTTTATCAAGCCTACAATTGACTGGTTATTCAATCAACGTTTTCCAATTGGCAATTTTCCATCGTCAATGGGTAGCGGTTCTGGCGACAGATTAGTGCAATGGTGTGTATGCAATGCAGCACCTGGTTTTGTACCCTTGTGTACCCTTTAACGGCCAAGTCACACAACATTAACTATAATAATAAAGAAATCGAAGTAAGGAACCTTAGACTTGGCACGACCTTGTCTAGATTTCATTACTTTTTAGAGATAAACAAGCAGCTCCATCGAGACTTGGCTAGTTTTTTACAGAATGTTTTTGGTGGGATTTCACTGCTTTTTGTAGAAACGTGGGCATATTGATTTATTTTATTAGATTTTCTTATTTGACACATTTTTTTGTTTTTAGGAGTAGTTTTTTATTATTACATTTCTTCCTTTTCTTTTTTTTCCGGTTCTGATTCTTGTACAGTAGCAACAGTTTTTCGTATTGCTCGTTCGCGTTCATTATTTATTCTTTTGGACGGTTTAATTTCTGAAAGATCGGTACGGTATTTACGCCTAAGCCGGTTGTATTCGGTGATCGCTGAAGCTTGAGCTTTTATACTCTTGAAGTCAATATTTATGAGGTGCACCCCATGAAGATTGGTTACTCGTGAAAGTGCCACGTAGGCTTGGCCACAAGAGAATATGGAGGTGCCAATGTCCATGAGGGCATTTTTTAGACTTAGACCTTGGCTCTTGTGAATTGTTAGGGCATACGCCACAAAGATTGGGAATTATTCTCTGTACATGTAGTTTTTTAATGTACCAATAGTAGAAGGGGGCATTACCATATCTCTAATACATCTGAGATCAGCTGAGGGTTCTTCATCAGATACTACAGACCTTCGATTTTTAACATCAAATAAAGCGGCCCACCAAGTTGAATATTTTTTGTAAAGGCGGTATGTCGATCTCTTCTAATAGTTTGGTTGGGCTCTTGTGTTTTCTAATCAGGGTCACCAGGTACTCCAGATCTTCGATTATCCTATTTTTTATAGTTTTCTCTTTATGTGGCCATTAAACCCTAACTCCACCACAACCAAATTTCAGCTCTCTGAGTTTATGGGAAGTACTAGTTCTATTCTGATGATCATGAGTGAGTGAGTGTCATAAATGCGAAACTTTGCTTTCACTTAACTTCGGAACTAAATGACCTACAGACTTGAAATTTTGGATTTTAAGTACGTCATTATAGTTTACTAGATGACGAAAATTTTTGCTTTCTGGTCTTATCCGGAGGTTCTCAAATAGGGGCCTGAAAATGCGGCGAAATGGTTCCAGTAAAGGATGGTACGGCAGTGTTTGCTTCGCGCTCGACTTGGCGGGGGCACTACCGTGCCCCCCGATAACAAGTGGCCACTACAACTTATTTTAATTGACTTGAATTTGAATATATTTTATAGAAATTCACATTTGATTTTGGTTACATTATCACTGATAATATCTCCCATGATATATAATATCAAAATCATGTTTGTTTACACTTAACTTCTAATATTAAGGGTAATTTGAAATTTCTTATATAATGTTATTTATATATTCTATTTCTAAACATATCGTGAAATAAATATTATTACATAGTATGCAAATACACAATATATTATAACATGAATATGCCAACAAACGCTACAGTTGCTATAATAGTGTTTATAATTTTATTTTCCTTTCATCCATCTCCACTTATCTACTAATTAAGTGATAAAAAATATATCAATTACCTAGTCCGGCCAAGGCTTCATTTGGTCGGCTGAACTTGATGTTTTATTAGGCCCTTCAGCAGCACGATCTACCTTCTCCACATCATACCTATCATCGCGCTTAACTTTTGATACTTGATATGGTCCTAGATACTTTGGTTTAAGCTTCAGTCCTAGACCAAACTGCGTCCTATTTATAGCTATCAAATCTCCTTCTCCATATTGGGAACTTGGCTTCCAATTTTCATTAAGTCTTCCTGTTCTCCTCTTGTATTTTAGTAACTATTGTTTTTTTGCTTTGACTCTAATCTTTTCTTTATTTTCCTCATACTGATCAATCTCCTCTTATCTTAACAATTCCAGTATCTTCACGTCTTCCTTACATCTAATGTACCAACCATAAGGTGAAATGGAGTTGTGTTTATGCTTCTTTGGTAGGTACTATTTATGGACCTTTGCACTCGACTGATATGTCTGTACCGCTATAATGGACTTTCTAGATCAAAACAGCCAAAATTGTTCTATGTATCCTTTCTACCTGGCCATTTCTTCCCGGCACTTCCGTGGTGACAGTAATATGCTGAATGTTCTCTTCTTGGCGGTACTCCTGAAATTC